AAAAAAAAAAAACCAAAAATTAAAAAAAAAAGGATCGCTTTAAAGTAAAGGCTTTGCTAAAATATAAAAGGCCTTTGCGCAAACGAAAATACCTGGTTAAATGAACAGGTTATAACGAATTAAAAAAATCGTAAATTCTAAAAAGGGATATTACGAAAAAGATTGTTAAAAAGTACGAAGCAAATTTGCAAATTAACGGAAATACCAAACCCTAACGGGTAAGCACCCGAAAAGGACGGCGGTTAACAAAGGATAAAAATAGCAAAGGCTTAAAAAAGGGCCCGGAAAAATATTTTAAACGTACCGAACCGGTTAACCACCGGGGAAAAACGGGAAAAAACCCGTAAACAGCTCGTAAAAGCCATAAAATATCGTGCTTTATAAACAAAAAGTTAAATAAAAACGGTATAATAAAAGGAACGCCCCAAATTGTTAAATGCAATACATTTAAATTCCAAAAAACATGCAAAGTGTAGCACACTTTGGAAAGCCCGTAAAGGGCATGCTTAGCGTAACACGCTAAAGCAATTACCGCATTTTAAACGTACGTTATAATAAAATACCATTATTTGCCCGGAAAGGAAATAAAAAAACCTGTAAATAATATAACGAACGGGTTTAATCGTTTGGGTAACGGCAAATGCATATCGGCGGTATTTAAACCTATTAAAGAACGAAAAAAAAGCATTTAAAAATTATTTATTAAGGCATTAAAGCTTAGCTAGTAATTAAAAATACTAAAATTTCGCAATGTTGCAAAAGCAATATAACAAAAGGAAATTGTAATTTTAATTATAACAAATTAACAAAAAAAATTTAAAATTAACCACTTTTTAAAAAGGAAATACCAATAATTAATTAAAAAAACATGTGGGAAAAATCGATTAAATGCCGTATTTAAAAAAACCAAAATTTCCGGAAATTACGTTTTTTTCGTTAGCGTTAAATTGTTGTTGCTAAAATCGTTATCGCTAAAGTTGTTAACGTTGAAGCCGTTATTTCCCGGCGCCGATACGGACGCCGCACTTTTACGGGAAGTTATGCGGGCGCGAGCTATAATATCCAAACTTGCCGCAATTATAATAAAGCTAATGTTAATACAACGAATAAAAAAAGTTAAGCTTTTTTTAAAATTTTTAAATGTTGCCGCTATTTTGCTAAAAAAGGCTTAAGCGGCAGCCAAGCCCGTAATTTGCTTTTTTGCTTAAATGCCGATAGTACGAAATTGCTAAAAAATTTCCTAAATAGCTTTTAATATTGCAGCGTTAGCAGCCTTGCAATAAATGCGCTTTTAAATAATGGCTTAACGTTTTTAACGCGCAAATTGTTTGGTTAACATGGTATAAAAGGATTTAGCTTTTTAAATAGCTTTGCAAGCGCGAAATTGGACTTTGGTAAGCTTTTCGAAAAGCTCCGGGGTTTTGTTAAATTACCGTTTGTAAACGGTATTTAAAATTTCGTAAAGGTTTTAAATAATTTTCCAAAATTATTCCGGAAGCTCGACGCAAGCTTTATTGCTAATTACGTTTTTGCAATAAATGCATTTGGAAAACCCCGTGCAATTATTGGTATATATCGGCATACGGGGGTTAACGGCATAATTTTAATATGCTTAACAATTTAAATAACGGCCGCAAAATACCGTACGCTTCGTATAAATGTTTTTAAATAAAAGCAAGCAAATAAAATTCCAATCGTTTTTTTATTGGAATTTAACGATTGTTTTCGGCGGGATTGCATCGTAAATACCCATATAAAGCGAAAAAAAAGCGGTATTTTCCTTGGCGGCAAGCCCATTGGAATCGAAAGCGTTGCGGCAACGTTCGTTGCGCGCGTTACGCTTTTTTTCGGCGGCGGATTTTTTGCCGCAGCAATTAAAGCTTACCGGGGGGTTACCGGCAAAGCGTTTAAAGGAATTTTAAAAGGTTGGAAGCGCAAAAGGGTTCGATGGACCCGCAATAACTGGGGGGCCCACCGGGGGGTTACCGGCAAAGCGTTAATTTGGGGCTTAAAAAACCGAAGGGCTAGGAAAAGCCAACGGGCTAGCTAGGACCAAAAGGCCTAAGGCGGGCTTTAAACGGGAGTTTAACTTTTTTACCGCAACGGGTAAGCTAAACAACATTTGCAATTACCGGTTAGGCTTCGAAATTCGAAAAGGAACGGTTAAATACTAATTATTTACCGTTATTACTATCGAAAGTTTTGGAATAATTATTGGGAATGCAAAAAAAAAGGAAAGGCCCGCGGCTACAAGCTAAAAAAAAGGCCTTTTTATATTATAACGAACCCATTTTTTAAGGCGTTAAAAGGATTTACAACCGGTTTCCCCGGGCGCAGCCGGGCATTGAAACGGCTTAGCGGGATACCATTACTTACCAGCCGCTTACAAAAACTTACGCGCGGCGCGTACGGCTTGGGGCAAGCCGTATCGGGAAAAGGCAATGTATTAAATGCACAAGCAAAGCCGCCCAAGCAAAAAAAAGGAAAAGGCGTTAAAACAAATAGCAAAGCACGGACTTTCCCGGTAACGTGCTAGCGAATTACCGGTATCGCAGCCAAAATACAACGGCAAAATTAAAAAATAAAACGAAGCCCAAATTGTACGAAAGCGCTTAAAGCACGGGAAAAACTTATAAAACCAACCCCGCGTGCTTTTAAAAGGGCACGAAAAAGGGGGAGGTTAAAAAAGGAACAATTAATTGCATAATAGCAATTTGGAAAAAGAATTGCATCGGTTTAAACGGGGAAATACCGCATCCGGTACGTAACTTGGTAACCACCCGCTTTTGCACGGATTAACCTTTAACATTTGGTTTAACGGTATTAATATTCGGGCCATTTCGGGTATTAATAGCGTTTGCAACCTTTTTTTTAGCAACGGCTTTTCGAAGCTTTGCTATAGCTTTTTTAATCGTTTGCGCGCGTTTGGTTATGGTTAGTAACGGTAGCGATTCGTGGTTTATCCATGGCATGGCTTTAAAAACGAGCAGCGTTAAAATTAATCCGTTCGGTCCCGCGGTATCGTTTATTGCTTTTACGGCTTTTTAAAGCAATAATTCCAGTAAAACGTTAAAGCATTCGGCCTTTATAATTAAATACGCTTTTTGTAATATAACGTGCGTTTGTTCGATTTTTTTAACGAAATAATAAATTTTAATAAAAATTTGCTTGCAAATAATTCCGAAAGGCTTTGTTTTTATTTAAAAGCCGCTTTTTAAAAAATAAATGCCCGCGTTATGGGTAATTACGTTTAAAAGCTTTAAATAAACATTTATCCAGCAGCGTTTTAAAATTTCCCAGGTTTTTTTTGCCAATAAGTTTTTTAAAATCGCTGCAGCATTAAATTTTATGCTTTCGTTAATTATATAAAGTACCCGCTTGTTGCTTAAGTAAAACACGCTAATAACAATTTCGTAATTAAAATCTTTATCGTTTTTTAACGTAAATTTAAATCGTTGTAATGCATTGCTTTTAATTTAGCATTTGTAATACATTTTATTAATTATTTCCAGCGCGTTGCAATTTATATTATGGCTTGCCCGTTAAAGGGTTTTATGCAATCGTTTAACGGAAAGGTAACCAAATTGTTTGTATACGCGCCGTAATTTGGTTTTTATTAAAAACAAAGATTTTGTAAAAAAAAATTTGGCGGCCATTGAAATTTCGTTTATAACGTGCGTTAATGCATTAAAAAAAACTATGGGTAACCAAAGCGTTTAATAATCCGTACGCGCGTTCCATTGTACTTTACGAGCTCGTTGCGCGTATTGTTAAGGTATACCTTTAATGCGTTTATATTTTTTAGTAATAATAAAAATGGTATTGGGTTATTAAAAACGTAAAACGTAACGTTGCTAATAAAGGTTAATACAATAATTGTACCAATGTTAAATTTGGTATTTCCTGTTCCAAAAGCTATAGGATATTTAGGTGCTTTATAATCGATTTCGAGCTTTTTTATATGCTATTGCAATGTTTAAATTTGGTAAATTCCAGTTATTAAATTGGTTGCCGCGCCGGTGTTTAGCAAAATGCCGTGCCATTAAGTATTGCTTTTAATGTTGTTATAAATTAGCACTTTGTAAATGGGAGCTTAAATCCTGGCTTTTCGTGCTTTTTAAGCATTTTTTGCAAACAAACGGTGCTTTTATAATTTGGTTATAAGGTACAATGCTATATTTTATATAAAGTAAATTGTTATTATTGGTTTTTTTGGTCGCTTTCGTAATTATAATTATTGATTAGCTTTTCGTTGTCCTTTTTTAATGCGCTTTTGCTTTTTAATTCGTTTGGTTTCGTAATTAAAAGGAATTTCCGGTAACCCATTAAGGGTTTGCCCTTATTTTTTTGCTTTTAACGCTAACGCTTTTTGTGCTTTTTTTGTTTTTTTTTAAATAATTCGTTAATTAGCAATTAAGCTTTTTGCAAATCCAACAATTTCGTTTGGCATGCGGGTTGTACGTTCGTTTTTGCTTCCATCCTATTTTCCATTAATTTCGTCGATTTTTGCTTTCGTACTTTCGTTCCGTATAATGTTATACCGGGATTTTATTGTTATTTTTAATTTTCGTAACATTGCAAAATACGTTGGAAAAACTTTTAAAAGTATTGGGATGGTTAAACAAAGCCATTTCGAATTTGGAAATTTTTTAAATTGCTTTTGCTATGTTCGTTACGAGCTATTATTTATTGCTAAAGCTTAAATTTAATGCTTAGTAATATCGTTGCAATTTGTTAAAATGTTTTTGCAAAATTTCGATATTTGTTTTGCCCGTATTTGCAAGCTTTAAACGGACGGTATTAAAATGGATTATTGTTTAATTTGTTTAATATTGGGCTTGCACGATTTTTATTTCGAAATAATTTTTAAATGCAAAATAAATAATTTGGAAAGTAAATATAAAGCTAATGTAATTAACGTAATATTTATTTGCTTTGCTTTTTAAAATATAAAAATATAGCGCGTGGAATTATAAATAGCCAATACCAAGCATTTGGGCGTAAATTGTAAAATGGAAAAGCTTGTTATCGATAATGTCGTACGGTTTTCCCGTATACGAATATATATCGTTCCAAATGGTTTTAAAGGTGCGTATGGTAATTGCATCGATTGGTGCATTGGTTATTTCCCGTAAAAGGATTTAACGATAGTTATACACTTTGGTGTAAAGGTAACAGGATGCGGGTAAATTATAAAAGGGTTAATTATGTAACGATAATTGGTTATGGCTGGAAAGGTTTGGTACCGATTTTCGAAAAGGCTGTTTAAGTAATAACGGAAGTGGAACGGGTAATGCCGCGTTTTATACTTTTGGTTTTTGTTTTTCCTATGCGCGTTTGCGTTGTAAAGCGTTAATTACGAAATTTTCGTGCTTTTTGTTAAATTACAGGGTCCAAGTTGGGGCTTTGCAGCACGATTACAGCAATTTATAAGGTTACGTTTACAAAGGTCGGGCTTATTAAACACTATAATATAATGCTAACAAGCCCACGTTGGTTGTTAAAAATAAGTGCTATTCCAGGGAAAGGGTGCTAACTCAATGCCTTTCTTTATATACCCACCAACGTTAATTTTAAAGGTTTTCCCCTTTAAAAGGTTGCGGTACCGCGCGCGATTTTCCGCAATATTATTTTGTATAAGGATTGCAAAAAATCAACCCACGGCCACCAAAACGATTTCCGCGTTCAGCCTCCAAATTTAACTTGTGTTAATTAACGTGGGAAAGTGCAGGGTAATGTCAGGAGCACGGGCGAAACCGCCCGGCAGAAAGCGGGGAGCGTTAGATGCACGGGCGAGACCGCCCGGCAG